ATACAATAAAATTTGCTAATACAGCAAAGAAAATCCTGCCTTGCAGGATTTTCTTTGCTTAGAAAGCAAATCCTGCAAGGCAGCAGAACATGGAACAGGTTGAGAATATATTTACCTCTATATATTTATCAGAATATATTTACTCTATATATTTATCAGAATATTTTGTAAAATGCATTTAAGAATAAATAAATGTGCATAAAAGAATGAATAAATGGGCATATAGGAATGAATAAATGCGCATGTAAAAATGAATAGACACGCATATAAGAATGAATAACCCTGTAAAATGTCAAAAAGCTAAAGCAATTTTATAAGATGACAACAATAAATTAATGAATAGCTGCGAAAAACTATCATCAAACATATGGTCAATAATTATGAAAATTAAACGAGAAAAGCTACAGAATGCATATCAGCCTACAACTCCTGACTTTTTCTGTAATGCATAATATATATATTAATAAAGATTTAGTTTTCTAAATTTTTTCTTATCTTTTTCTTATTTGCGCACTCCAGTTAATTGCACACCACAGTGCCTGTTTTAATTTGTGCAATTAAGCGAGAGACTACTGTAAATGCAAAAGGTTTTTCCCACTTATGGTCTACAAGGTAATATTATTTAATATCTAAGCCACATAAAAAAGTAGGTTAAAAAAGGAAGTTAAGTTAAATAAGTTAACATAATATTAACTAATAAAAGTAAAATTGCATAAAAATTTATTTAATTATACCAAAAAATCAGACTTTTTGAATATATATATAACTATAAAAATTATAAAAATAATTTAAAAAAATATAAAACATTTGGCCAATGATAAATTGAACATGCCAGTTCCATTTCAAAATGAAATAAATTAGATTGTGCGATTGAATTCATAATGAAAATGACATTTTAAAACAATGCATTTTTTATCATATGACATTAGAAAGTAAAATGATTAACCATTAAAACAACTTAAATATACATACATACGTACATATATATCACAGGCTACATTATACTTTTTTTACACACACACACACACACACACACACACAAACACACACACACACAAACACACACACACACACACACACACATATATATATATTTATAATATTAAATTTATAATATTACAAATTTATAAATTTTTAATATTATGGTATTAAAAGCTGACTTTAAGACTCTAGAAAAAAAAGTATAAGCTTTAGAAAAAGCAATCAAAGCTAAAGACAACCAGTTAACAGAAAAAAACCAACAAATAAAAGAACTAATAAAAAAGTTAAAAGATAAAAGTTGTAATGATGTAAGAGGTAATAAGGAGCTTTGGACTGATGTTGTAAAAGGTAAACAGAAAAGAAAATCAATAAATCAACTAAACCTGATTAATGCAGTAGCCAAAGAATCAAATGAACAAAAAATGCGAGAAAAAAATGTAATTATTTTTGGTTTAGCAGCATTTAATAATAAAAATAAAGATAATGCATTTGACGAGGATAAAAAAAATGTGATAAGTATTTTTAACAAAATTGATACAAATGTTAATATAGAACACATTATATAGTTAAAAACAAGAAACAAAAATCAACCACCTTTTATTGCTGTCTTAAAAGATAAACATGAAAGAAATAAAGTTTTAAAGTCATCAAAAGTATTAAAAGGCGACGACTCGTTCTCGAAAGTATTCATAAATCCTGATCTTACAGAAGCAGAAAGACATAAATCAAAACTCTTAAGAGAAGAATGTCACAGAATGAACACTGAATGAAAACAAAGAAATTAAAATTATTTCAGTATCAGATATGATCAAGTAGTTAAAACCACTGTATAGCAATTACCAAAAAACTAAAGATTAACAAAATCCATTATCAAAAATCAACGGACAGGAACAAAAAAACCATCAATAAAGTATCTAAAAAAATAAATTACGATTCAAAATCAATTGAGTCAATAAATGTATTATCTGAAAATACAAAAAAACCAACAATTAATAATAACGGCGTAACAGAAAATTCTTATCATGTTGGTATACAAATGCTACATCATTAAATTGTAAATACAATGAATTTATTGTTGAAATAGTCACATCTCACCCACAGATACTTTTTATCAGTGAAACATGGTTTAATGAAATGTCATTAAGTTATGTTCCCGGTTATAATATATTTTGCAAAGATCGAATAGGTAAACGAGGAGGGGAAGTATGCATATATGTCAAAAAAAATATTAAATCTGTTACAGTTTCTGATAAAATGTTGAATGATGATGACGCAGATGATGAAGAGCAAGTTTGGACATCATTGCATATTGGTAATGAGAAGATCCTTTACGGATGTATTTATAGGCCAGGCACAATTGACTATGAACTTAACCTAAAAATAATAAATTCAATTAAACGAAGTTACAATCTATTGATAAAAAGTAAGTATTCCGGAATATTAGTATGTGAAGATTTTAACTATTTTTCTATTAAATGGAATAAAGAAAACATCAGCGAACTTATTAATAATTCAGATATTTCTGCTAAAGAGTTCTTAGAATGTTTAAACGATTGTTTTAAAACACAAAATGTAACTAAACCAACTTTTCAAATTAATGAACTTAAATCCACTAATGTTCTTTACCTAATATTAACAGAATCAAACAAAAGAATAATTGATTTGAACCATTTTAATAATTTGGGTGCACTTGGTCAGGGTCACCAGATCCTAAAGTTTTTATATAGCTTTAGAAATAATTAAAAAAAAATGGAAACAGTAAAAAAAACTCTGTACAAACACGGGAATTATAATGGCTTTTCCGATATGTTAAACAACTACGACTGGCATCTTGAACTCGAAAAATTTAGATGCTAATGTTTCATACAACAAATTTGTCAATATTTACAATAAAGGACTTATATATTTCATTCCAACAATTACAAAGGGAGTTGTTAAAAAAAAAGCGCCTTGGATAACTTAAAAAAGTTAATTAGAAAAAAAAGAAACCTCTGGAGAAAATGTTTACATAATCCTTTTTTAAACAAAGGAAATGTATTAGAATACAAATCAATTAGAAATAAAGTAAAAAAAGAAATTAAGAACCAAACTAAATTATATGAAACTACCATCGCCTTAAACGATAAAAAAAAACCAAAAGCAATTTATGCATATATAAACAAAAAATCAAAAGTTAAAGAAGGTATTAACACATTAAATGTAAATGGCAAACTTGAAACAAATTATTTATCAATAGCACATTCCTTAAATAACTATTTTAGCTTTGTTTTCACCAATGAAATTAGTGACAATATACCATTCTTTAAAAATAGGACAAACATTATTTGTGAGGACCCTACATTTTCACGGGACACAGTTTCTATAATCCTGAAGTCACTAAACCCAAATAAATGTACAGGAGTAGATGGAGTTCACCCATTTCCTTTAAAATGTTGCGCAGATGCATTCTCCCTTCCTTTATCACTTATTTTTAATAAATCGTATAACACAGGAATAATTCCATCAATGTGGTTAAACGCTAATCTAACACCATTATTTAAAAGTTGAGATAAATTGGAACCATCGAATTATCGACCAGTATCACTTACTTCAGTAATAAGTAAAGTAATGGAACGTATCTTAAAAGCTATATTTATATCGCACTTAGAAAATAAGAATCTCTTGACAAAAGAACAGCATGGATTTCTAAAAAAAAGACTGTTGTACAAACCTTATAGAATCTAACTCAAGCAATGGAAGATAATTTACCAATAGATATTATTTTCCTGGATATGAAAAAAGCTTTCGACTCCGTGCCTCACAAGAGATTGTGTCTTAAACTAAAAAGTTATGGTTTTAACTATAAAGCAGTTTTTTTTTTTTTTATTTTACTTCACCTCCTCAAGGCCGAGAAGGCCACTACAAACGAGGAGGCTACTTATTTTGTGGCTATAACCCTCTCTCAACTCTATAACTCCGAAACACGAACCTTGACAAACAAGGCCGCTGCACGGAGAAACGAGTTGAGCGCGGTACTACCAGGGACGTGGTGGGGATCGAACTCGGAACCACTCGTTTATGAAGCGAGCGCTCTACCACTACACCACTACCGCATAAAAAAGTTGGATGGTGCAAAAATTTTTTAACAGAGTGCAACGTGTTGTCTGCAACAGCAAATTTTCAAACTGGTCTCCAGTTACACATGGAGTACCGCAAGGGTCTGTCTTGGGTCCATTTATGTTTATTGTTTATATAAATGACTTACCGAATGAGTTATCAACGAACTGTAAAATGTATGCTGATGATATCAAACTAATTAACATAATTAAATCATCTTCTGATACAGAAAAGACTCAAACAGATCTAAACAAATTAATGAAATGGTCACAATTATGGCTATTAATATTTAATGTCAACAAATGTAAATGCATGCATATAGGTAGCAAAAATACTAAGCATATATAAACAATGTATGATTCAGTGTTGAATAGAGTTGAGCTAACAGAAACCAAAATTGAAAAAGATTTAGGAGCTATGATTTCAAACAACTTAAAATGTGTCTGGTAAATATTTTTAACATAAATCGGCTGTTAAAGTCTAGATCAACTAGACTCCGTACATTGTCAATGTACATGTACACAGTCATTAAATATATATATATATATTTATATATATATATATATTTATATATATATATATACATATATATATATATATATATATATATATATATATATATATATATATATATATATATATATATACACACATATATATATATATATATATATATATATATATATATATATATATATATATATATATATATATATATATATATATATATACATATATATATACATATATCATGTTATGTATACAAATAATGAAATGAATAATATTATTTTTTATTAAAATTTTAGAAAATTTAATGACACTTATGGTAAATAATGCAATAATGGTCTTTTTTGTAACAAAGAAAAGCATAATTTATTCTTGTAAAACTATATTTAAAATATTTAACTAAAAATTCTACCAACCCCATTCTATCCATGTACAGTTTTGTAATTCAGGCAAACTGCAATATGGAATGTTTCCTAAATAAAAAACATTTTTTTTATTATTATTGGTAAAATACTTTCTTTAAACAATGAAGTTAAAATTTCTTTCTCTTTAAAGATAAAATCTTAGAAAGAAAAGCATATCATTATAAATAAAAAACACAGAACATTTTGAAAGAATAATAATTACTCCAAATATTATTTTTTAAACATTTTGAAAAATAATGTAAAATAATAAGTTATATTAAATTGAGAAAGCATCTCCAGATCTTAAATTTTTTTTTTTAAATTAACACATTTACGACATTCATAAGTTTTCTTATAAAAATAAATGGGAGCAAGATATAAAAATCTAAAGATAAAAAGGTTTGATGAATTTGAATTGAACTCGGTTTTATTGGAATTAAACTTGCTTATAACCACATAATAGCATGTTACTAAGCAACTAGATGATAACAAATAAATAAAAAAATCTCTAAAAATAAAAGAAATTTTTAAGGAATTTCAATTAAGTTCAAATTACTTTTCTTTTTACAATTTAAAAATAACTTTTTCAAAAATTACATTACAGAAAGAATTAATTTTATAACATCAATTGTTTTGTAAACGACTGTTAAAAAATTCATCTTGCATAATTACTTGCACATTTACTAAAAATTTGTTTGGCACTAAGATTCTGAATGTTATTTTTTTTAAATTGAATAGTAGTACTTTTGAAATGTAGATTGAAGAATGTTACTTTTGTATATTTTTAAAAACCTGGTTTCAAGCTTTTCGCTGGTATTCTAAGCAAGTCTAACAAATGTTCACTAGTTAGATTAGCACGGTACTTTGATTTAACAAACTCCATAGTCAAAAATAAAGATTCACATGTATACATTGAACCATAAACTGAAATGAGATTTATTCTAATCTTTTTTAGTTAAGGATACTTAACTCCAGGAATTATTTTCCGAAAATCCAATAAAATTAGCGTTTTAAGTAGAATTTGATCATCTTGAAAATCTAATAATTACAATTCAAAATGAGATGTTTTTTCGAGCATGTTTCATGGAATTGAACCATTACTCATAATATCGAATAAAAATATTTACTAAAAATTTATTATATTATATTTAAACAACTATTGCAATACAGCCCACATTAATGAATGGCTTCTTATTGAGTCTTCTTCTTTACATCTTCTTGGATTATTGTTTCCTACTGACCTTTCATGAAAACTATTTATATAACTCAAGAACTACTATATAACAGGACGCGCAAACATATATATATATATATATATATATATATATATATATATATATATATATATATATATATATATATATATATATATATATATACCCATATAGTGTAGTCGAAAGAGCGTTTTAATGTAAAAAAAGTCTCTTACGACTACAATTTTAATTACCTCGTCTTATAAGCTGTTTTTGATTGTCATCGAAATGTCAAAGCAATTAATTTATGCGGAAGTACATTAAATTTAATTGTTTTTTAAAAAATTTTTAAAAAACCGCAATTATAACGACTAGAAAGTTTTTTTTAATTAGTGGTGTTTTTGTTATTGATTTAATAAAAAACATTAAAACATGCGTAAATGTTGCTACATCGACTATCTTATAGCCTGACTCGCAACGGAGTGTTGCTACATCGACTGACAAATAGCCTGACTCGCAAGGGAGTGCTGCTACAACGACTGACAAATAGCCTGACTCGCAAGAGAGTGCTGCTACATCGACTGAGGGTTTGGTTTGGCCAGGCAGTCTATCAATTAAAAAAAAAAATTTTATTTTTAAAACTTTTTCTGGTCTGGTTTATTAACGCGCTCTTTAAAACTACAGTTTATGGGAAACTTTTTTTGATGCCATGCAAGAGACATGCAAGAGTATATATATATATATATATATATATATATATATATATATATATATTATATATATTCATGTATTATATATATATATATATATGTATATTCATGTATATATATATATATATATATATATGTATATATACTTGTATTATATATATATATATATATATATATATATATATATATATATATATATATATATATATATATATATATATATATATATATATATATATATATATATATATATAAAATATATAAAAAATTTTTAAATTTATTATATTTATATATCTTATATATATATATATATATATATATATATATATATATATATATATATATATATATATATATATATATATAAAATATATAAAATTATTTTAAATTTAATATATTTATATCTATTTATCTATATATATCTATATATATCTCTATCTCTCTCTCTCTCTCTCTATATATATATATATATATATATATATATATATATATATATATATATATATATATATATATAAAATATATAAAATTATTTTAAATTTAATATATTTATATCTATTTATCTATATATATCTATCTATATATATATATATATATATATATATATATATATATATATATATATGAAAATATAAATATTATATATCTATATATCTCTCTCTTTTTATATATATATTATATATATATATATATATATATATATATATATATATATATATATATATATATATATATATATATATATATATATATATATATATATATATATATATATAATTCTATAAGTAAATTAACAACAAACACAAATTAACAAAGTCTATCTATAAATATTATTCGGTAAGGCGTGCCTTTTTAATTGATGTCTGATAAAGACATTTTTTTTGTTTGCCAAATTATGAATTCCATGCAAAAGTACATTAGCCAAATGCCTATAAAGATTTTTTGATGATAAAGCTAAATCATAATAATAATGTATCCATTATATATTTAATAATAATGTATCCATATTATAGACAGAATGCTTATAAGTCTTTTTGTACAACATGCTTTGTGTTTAGTTTTTTTCACAAAGCATAACCCAATTCTAACTAGCTGATATGTAAACTCATGAGGAACTGTCAAATATCCTCGTAAAATCTCTTCAATAAAGTCTTTAGCTTTATTTGTTAGTATAGGTTCATCCTCAGCATAAACTAGTTCACCCTCATATTTTTTTCCAGCCATCCTGCCACATAGGCAGCAGAGCTCTTTTCAGTTTCTGAAAGGCTCACATCATAAATGCAAGTTTCAATTAAAGTTGCATCTTCAAAACTGATTGGAATTTCACATGTGTGATATTTTTTTATTGGGCTGTTCTATATCCACTAATTCTAGAAATGCTGCAGCAAATCAAGTTAAACGCTTTTTAAAAGCAGAAAAAACATCCCCAGCTGCCATAAAAGCATTTGCCCCTGTTGATTGTCTGTAAACAGAAAATTCTCCTTCATTTCTGTCACTTTGTAACTCACGAAGTAAGACGTAAACAAAACCGACTGAAAACAAATGCTTGCAGACAGCTATCAATTCTTCAGTGGTTTGCACAAGGGCTTTTTTAGTATCATGGGTAACACATTGAATTTGTTTGGGTCCATGCCCTGATTTCATAGATTTAAATAGTTCTAAAAATGCTTGGAGATTATTTGAATTTTTATCTTGCACAGATCGGTTGGGGTCTCTTAGTCTAATATTTTGCCCTTTTGCAGAAAAATTAACAATATTCCACTAATCTAAAACCTGCTAAATAAATAAGGATGTTTCATGAGCTCCTTTTAGTTTCAAAGCAGCTACTAATTTCTCATTAAATATTTTAAAACATGTTGCACATTCTGTAATTGAAGTCTAAAAGGATAAACAGCAGCATCAGATATATAAACTGATTTCAAAATATCTTTTTCATAATGATATAGATTTTTGATATCAGAAAAAGAACCAATGGTTTTATTGTCTAGAGATAACTTTTGACATTTTTCAGAAATCCAGTTGTTATGCAAACATTTAAGAAGATGAACTATATCAAACAAAAGAAACCAAATACGCTGATCATCTAATGGATGAATTGCCTGACAGTCAGTATTTCTTTTGAAAATTTTGCATTATTGCTGATTGATTTTATGATTATCTGTTGCAGATCCTAAAATAATGGCACCATTTTTTTCAGCTAAAACAGCAGCTTCTTTTACAACACTGAATTAATATATTGATGTTAGTTTGTGAACAGGTGTAATAGAAACCATTAAACTAGGTCCACCATGTAAGCATTTCATCATTACACATTGCATAGAAGTTGCTTTAGACTCTGGATCATTTTTTGCCATGCCATATAAAACTCCACCTAAATAAGCAATATTTGGTCTAATTTTTACCTCATCAACTATCAAAAAAGCATTTTTCTGATGATCGTTTTTTACTTTTTTAAATGTTTTTTGTAATACAAAATTGATGTTTGTGGCAGAAATTATAGACTGCAGTTTTCGTTTACTTGGAACCACTAAAAAATCACGAAGTTGATCATAGCTGGTGTTATAAAAAGACTCAATAGCAAAGCAATAATCAGCTATAGTGAAAACTTTTGTTACACAATAGTTTAAATTGTCTTGTAATAAAATTCAGATTCTTTTGCTTGATATCATCATTGATTTTAAACTCATGTTCTGAAATAATAATTGTCACCTTTATAATAATATCATCAACATACAGATTATAATTATAAACTAAATTAACTGCTTCAAAAAATTAGAAGACTAAACCATTAAAGGGATTCGATATATTGCTTAACGGAATGCTGATACCATGTTTAAAAGAAGAAAAAGTTAGTGGTGAACACAATGTACACTTATTATAAACAATTACTGTTATGAAGCTCTCTTTAAAATCCTTCAACATAAAAATACATATGAATTTATCTTTTTGTTGAAATATTACAATATTTTCATACTTTTTGTGTAATTCTTTGTCAGGATAGAATTCAGAAAACAAATTTATTTTGTCATTTTTAAGAAAATAATTGAGTTGCTGATCCTCAGACTTAGATTGACGAAGCATTGACTTTGGTGTTGGTAGACAAAAAAAGAAACATTAAAAATACTTGGTACACATAGTGGTCGAGTATAGCCACCAGGAAGCCTAA